CATCCTACACATTTTTATCTTACTCAGTTTTTTTCTTCTTCACCTATTTTGTCTTTTCTTCCTTTGCCTATTTCTAGATCACTCAAATTCTAACTTTTGTTTTATTACCAAATATTCAGTTAGTCATTCTTTTTTTTTCTCTCATAGTAAGGATAACATGACGTTTTGTGAAATGGATTGATTTTACTGGATTTTTAGTGAAATTAGGTTCTTATAGAAAAAAAACCCAACAAAATATAATGAGATGTTTAATTCCGAAGTGATTGAAGTATTAGAAATATTGAGCTTTAATCTTTAAGGATGACAATTTTTTATGGTGACTTTATGGTGACATCAGGCATGGAAAATGGTTTATATAGGAAAGTGAATTAAAATAATATAAATTTCTATTGAATTTTTGTTACCTCTTCTATTTGTCTTCATTATAATACACAAACAAATTATATGCTTAATTTAGTACAACTTTCCATTGTCCTAGAAATTGTTGGATGAAATGTCCATTTTTCCCTCTTAAAATATGCCCTTTTTTGTGGTTCCCTAAGAATATATTTTATTCTTCGTATGCTTCTCAAACTTTATTTTTAATCTATCTGACCTTTTGGTTATTGCTAAAAGGCAATATGAGACAAGTATTAAAGAAATGATGAATTAGATATAGGTTACTTTGGATATGCTCCTTTTCTTCTTGTCAGCTCAAACTCATGAAGACAATTTCTGAGGTTAAAAAAAATGGGTCCATTTAAAACTGAGATTGCATTCATCATTGGTGTCACGGCTGGCAATGGAGTGTGACGGGCAGCTGTTAACTCTGGCAACTTGACATGTACCAGCTGTTTTGTCACAACGCAAAGAGCCCACAGGCAAGTCCAGAGCTGAAACAATTAAATGATAAAGAGTAGAATCACATAAACGTAGCACCCGAAATGAAAAGACCTTCAAGTTTCAGCAATCAATAAATAAGGTAGATCCTCATGGGAAGCGATCATCAGAGGAGAAATGGAGACTTCTTGCCTTCCTTATGTTCAAAGAAAAAAAGAAAGCAAACCTTGAAATTCTTCATTAAAGCAAACTTTTAATTCTTCATTAAACCCTCTAGGTTTAATTTCTACAAAGTTCTCACATGAACATAGCCAGTTTTCTTTTAAAAATTTTACCAGAAATACTTACTAACCTATTTCAAGTTGCACATGTTGAAAGCCCAACTTAAACATGTAGCTGTAGAAACAACGTAAGTGCATTAATACTTGGAAAGCTGAAGAGGAAGGCTTATTTTCAGGGACAGTCAGAAGGAACTTGACTTTGTCTACATCTCAGGTCAGAACTCCTTGCAGGCCCAGTTGGATTTTACTGGTCTCTCATCAGTGAAGTCTTCTCGGACGATTTGATCTGGGACCGCAGCTGCGTATCTTTGGTGCTATCGGATGTGCTATTTAACAAGGCACACATCGTATCTCCCTCTAAGTAGTGAGGGTTTAGTATATGAGCTGGCTGCTGAGTCTTCTTAAATTGATTCTCTAGAGCCAGAAAACCTTGATCTCCTGAGAGGATGGTGAAAGGAATGTCCTCGGGTAGTTATTCATCTAGATATCCAGCATGTATATATGGGGCAAAATCAGCAGCATCTTTTCTTTTATTATATGGAGGATGAAGGGAGAAACATCCAATCCTGTTCAGGTAATTACATATGGTACAGTTGAGTGGAGGCTTCCAGTTGGTGTTCCCTCCTGGAAAGCCCCAAATAAATGTTCCTTGGGTAAGATGGGTTGGGTTTTAAGGTGACAGTACACACTCTGGAAGGTTCACATCAGGAAGGAAAGGAATTTCCTTTCATATTATTATCAACTCATGGCTCCCACAAAAATACATACAGTGGTTTAATCTAGGCCAGCTGTAGATTAAGTACACAATTCTAACGCATCCATCAACCACCAGGACTGTGAAGCAGGGTTTGGTTTAGACTTCATATAATAGTGGGTTACATGACTGCAGTCATGTTTGTCACCCAACACAGTGTGCAAATGGAACCAAAAGTTTGTCATTTTTACTAGTTTTATTGTTAGCAGACAAAACTTCACATATTTATAGGGTTCTGTGTGATATTTCAATACACATATACAATTTATAGGGTAAAATTATTGTAATTAGCATATTCATGATCTTAAACACTGACAATTTCTTTGTGTTGGAAATATTTAGACTACTTTCTTTCAACTATTTTGGAATATACAATCAATGACTTTAATAATACTTCCTCTATATGCTGTACCTCACTGTAATTTACTCCCGTCTGATTACATTTTTGTAACCAGTAGCCAATCTTTTTCTATATCTGCCTCTCTCTTACCCTCCCTTCCTCGGGTGACTACTACTGTATTTAGTTTCTACTTCTATGAGATCAGTATATGTAGCTTACACATTTGAGTGAGAATATGCAGCATCTGTCTTTCTGAGCTAGGCTTATTCCCCCTTAATATAATGTCTTCTAGACTCATTCATATCTCCACAAATGACAGGCTTTCATCCTTTTTCTGGGTGAATAATTTTCCAATGTGTATTTAAACCACTTTTTCTTCATCTGTTCATTTGATAAGGGACACTCTGTTGGATTCCACATCTAGGCTATTGCGATTGGTAGTGAAATAAAGGTGAGTGCAGGTATCTCTTTAATATGCTGATTTCTCTTCTTTAAATATAACCCAGTAGTGAAATTTCTAATTAATATGGTAGTTTTACTTTTAGGTTTTTGAGAAAAGTCCACACTTTCCCACCAAGGCTCTACTGACTTGTATTCCCCCCCATTGATGTACATGAGTCCCCTTTCTTCATATTCTTATCAGGTTTTATTATTTTTTGACTTTTTGATAGAAGCCACTTTAACCTGATCGAGATGGAATTTCCTTGTGGTTTTGATTTGAATAGAGATGTGGCAAATTATTCATTTGTTTATCCTTTGAGAAAAGTCTATTCAATTCATTTGCCCAGAATATCTGGTTGTTGCTGAGTTTCTCATATCCAGTAATACCTCAGCTCATAGAAACTTCTGTTTAAAAAGTATTTGGTTTACAGGGGCTGGGGATTTAGCTTAGCGGCAAAAGCTCCTGCCTGGCAAGTGCAAGGTCGTGAGTTCGGTTCCCGGTACCAGAGAAAAACCAAAAAAAAAAAAAAAAAAAAAAAAGAAAGTATTTGGTTTACAAACAAAAGTGTGAGGTAAGATTTTGCTTTCTTTTGAAAACTCCATATCTGGTGACTAACAGGACCGCAGCCATCTTCCCTGTATGAATAGGAAATATGGCTATCTTCCCCAGAATCCTGGAATGAATTAAGTTTATGACCAAGTTACCATTGCATTATGGATAATATTCCCTTATCAGATAAATAGCTTGCAAATATTTCACCCTCTTGGGGTTATTTCTTCACTCTGTTAATTGTTTTCTTCTCTATGAAGGGTTTTTTTTGTTTTGTTTTGCTTTTTTGTTTTTTAAGTAGATATAATCCAATTTGTCTATTTTTTTTCCTTTCTTGGGCTTTTGAGGTGTTACCCAAAAAAATTTTCACTTATACTAATATCCTCAGGTTTATCTGTGTTTTCTTCTATTGTTTTAAAGTTTTAGCTCTTAAGTCTAAGTCTTTGTTCAAATTCGAATTAATTTTTGTTTTGTGAGAGATAGGTGTCTAGCTTCATTACATTTCATTGTTACTTAGTTTTCCCAGAAACATTCATCAAAAAGACTGTCCTTCCTCTAATTTATGATCTTGGCATTTGTGCCATTTGGCTGCAAATGTGAGGACTTATTTGGAAGCTCTTTACTGTGTCCCATTGGTTTTCATGGCAATACCAGGCTGCTTTAATTACTAGAGTCAGGTAATATGTTTTAAAATCAGGTATTGTGATGCTTCAAGATTTGTTTTTGTCTATTTGTTTGTTTTGTAGTGCCTTATGGGATTCTTTTTACTTTTGTGAAGAGTGTTATTTCTATTTTGACAGAAATTCATTAAACTTGTAGATAATTTTGGTTAGATATTTTAATAATATTTATTTTTGCAATCCAAGACTTTGGGGTAACATTCACTTTGGGGTATGGATTTTCTTCAATTTCTTTCATAAGCATTTCATAATTTTTATTGTAGAGATTTTCACTTTGTTGGTTTAATTTATTCCAAAACATATTTTTTAGATATTATGTTTTTTTTTGTTTTTTGTTTTGTTTTGTTTTTTTCTGGTACCAGGAATCGAACTCATGACGTTGCGCTTGCCAGGCAGGCACTGTGCCGCTGAGCTAAATCCCCAGCCCCCTTTGTAGATATTATGAATGGGATTTCTGTCTTTATTTCATTTTCAGCTACTTCATTATTGGTATATAAAAACACTATTGGATTTTTAGTATGTTGATTTTGTATCCTACATTGTTACTAAATTTATCAGTTCTAATTTTTTTGTGAAACTTTGACTTTTCTATATAAAAGAATGTGTCATATGCATATAAGGACAACTTTGCTTTCTCCTACCTAGTCTAGATGCCATTTATTTCTTTTTCTTTTCTTATCACTCTGGTGAGAAGTTGTAGTACCACGTTGAATTAGAATGGTGAAAATGAGTAACTGTGTCTTGTTTGAGGTCTTAAAGGAAAGCTTTTGCTTTTTTCCTTTTAGTGTGTCCATTGTGCGTTTGTCATATACAGCCTTAAGTGTATTCCAAGGTCTCATAGTCTGAGTGTAGAGAAGGAGGTTAACTCAAAAAATAAAAGGAAGAATTGGGAGATATTACTAGATGATAACACACACAAACTGAATATTATCAAGTTAAGAATTAGCCCAGCCATACTGCCAAGCTCTCTTATGCTCCTTCGGCTCAAACAATACTTCCTTTAGCATCTTATCCATGCATATGGTCATAATACTTACTGTTCTCTCATATTTGGTGCCCTTGCTGACAAGAAGACTACACTGAGATGAATCTGGATTCACCTTATGAACAGAGAAGACATGTAAATGTAACTCACCGAGGAGAAGCTTCAACAACTAGCACATGGTTTACTAATGTTTTCTCTTCTCTTTGCCAACAGTACTTCCGGTACTTCCGGTAGGAAACTTCTCCATTAGCCTTGTCAACAGTACTTCCGGTACTTCCGGTAGGAAACTTCTCTTTGCCAGCAGTACTTCCTGTACTTCCGGTAGGAAACTTCGCCGTTAGCCTTGTCACCAGAAGTGAAGATAGAATGAGGCAGAGCCACAGTCTACCTATGAAGCACAATGGCAGAGATAGATGTTTCCTGCTGTTATAGTGTCAAATTATGAGAACGCTATCACAATATTACCCAGTTTAGTATTAGAAAACACAACAACCTGAAAAAAATCACCAATTTCATTTCTTGTTTGGAATTTGTAAACCAAGGACAATATTATGAGATTTTCTAATCTCATATCTCCTCAATCAAATTAGGTAAAGTAAGTCATTTAGACTTGGTATGTTATTGTTTTTGTCTGGTAATATAAATTGGCTTCAATTTTCTATCTGTTTAACCTACTGTCTGCTATATGTTACTCTGTAACACTGGGCACACTGTTTTAATTCATTAGGATTCATATTTTTATTTGTGAAGTATTTTGTTTAATCACAAAGTGATTTCTAGAGTCACCCTGTCAATGAGTATCTACGGCTCCTTGCATACCTGCTCTGCCTTCTGTCATAGTACTTTCCATACTTCATATAATGATACATAATCTTGCTGATAATCTTTTTAAAAAAAATCTCTCCCTCTCAAACTATAGAGTTCACGGGGACAGGAATCACCTCTGAATTTTTAAATACTACCTAGCTCCTGAAGAACAGATTCATACTTCCTAGGATAAATAATATTTTTATTTGCCTTACACATGTATGGGCTTTTGGTCTCAATAAAACATAATGTAGATGCTTTAACCAGAATTAAGTTGCATTTGTTTAAATTTGAAACCCTATGTATTTGTCTAGATGCAATGTGTAGCATGCATTCCATAAGCACAAATTGTCACTAAAATAGAAAGATCAATCTTTTATATTGATGATAGGAAAACTTTACGACTCAATCTATAAATTCATTGTAAATCAAAAAGCTTGCTAGGGTCACAAATATGGAATTCTGGAAATTAAAATATATAAGTGTTTATGGATTGAAAGGAAAATGGTCATTCAGTGATGAGATTCACAGACTAAAAGTCAACATTAATGTAAAATAAAATGATACCAATAATTGAATTTTTGAAGTAGTTCTGCCCTTGGCCTCTAGATGTCTCACCTAGAATTCCCATTGTAGAAGATATTCTGATGCAATAGCCCAACTATAGGCTTGGTTGAAATGTCATCTTGGGAACTAAGAGTAAACCATGTGAATTTAACTGCAGTTGAATCAAAACATTCCATTGGTATTTTTTTTTTAACTTTCTGGAAAAATGCAAATAACAGATGGTGGGCGAATAGGCAGATTTATGAGAAAAGTGACTTTGTATTAGTCATTCTGATGAGCCACATCTCAAGGAGCCCAGTGTTCTTGGCTATGATGAACAGTTTCCAGGTGTAACCCTTGATATAGGGAAAGTGAAATTTAAGACAATGATCATTGGTGCATCTTAACAGCTTTTTTCCACTTCAGAAATAATTCATATGGTTTATCTTTATTCTTTTTTTTCCCATTCCGCTCTCTTTCCTTCAATCCTTGTTTGTATCCCAGTAGATGAAGTGTGGAATTTAGAACAGTAACAAATGTCTTTAGGATATGGTTTATATAAAAAAAAAAAAACTGAAGACTTATCCTAAAAAAAAGTCATTCTGCTCATTAAAACAAAAAGAAAATAAACAATTATATTTCTTCACTTGATCTTATCTAAAAGGCCAAGAGGCAACAACAATTTTACTTCCTGAGAGTGTATGAAACACTTTGGCAATGGAGAAAAAAACAACAGTTTAAGATTTTGAACAGAAGAAGAAATAATCCTCTCATAAACATTTCTATTAGTGGACCTGATCTTCCATTAGCATATATTATATAGATGAACATATATTCTATATTACATGCTATAATATAATATAATAATATATAATATAATAATATATAATATAATAATATATAATATAATAATATTTACTATAGAAGGAAAATGTGAAAAAGACAGATGAATACTATTCCAATTCAGGTGTTACTCAGACTGTTTTCAAAATGTTATACAATGTAGTCATCTGCTGATTTTTAGATATGCGGAGCTTCTATCAAGAAATTCAGAATTCTCTGAAATAGAGAAAGAGCAGTACTTTCCTTTTGCCAGAAATAGTTCTGGCAAAATTAGACAATTAGGATCTAGATATAGAAAGCAATGTATGAATGAAAAGTGAGTGAAACCTAATTATGTTTTGTTCATTACAAAATAAAAAGTCAATTTTCTATAGATTTTTATTACACTAGTCTTAACCATGTCTTTCAAGATTTTTGCTTTATGACTTTTGACAATCATTTTGATTTTGGCTCAGATCAGATACCAATAAACCTAGCAACATATATGATTTTCAGAACATATTCATAAGCACTTTGTTGTAACCAAAGAAAAGAAAAAACAAAAATCCTACTGTGCTCATGTCATATCTACCTCTGTTTCATTTTTATAAATTAATTTTTTTCAATAGATTCCACTAGATTGATCAAATAAGTTACATACACCAGATATTTTACTTTTATATGTATATGTACTTTCAAAGAGTGAACATTAGCTGATTGTTTGTGGACTTTGGGTCCTGGTTTTCTCTAGGCTAATTCCTTTCTCTTTATCCCTCTTATTCTTCCTCTAATAATTGATTTTTAAGTCCAAAATCTCTTTCCATTCCTGTCTGTTGTGGTGAATCATTGTTCAATGCTAATATTATCTACTTACTTTATGCCACCCCTTCCAGTTCACCAATTAGAAGTAATCAATTTTATTCCCAATTAAGAAAAGTAAGGAACCATTATTTGGTTACTTGTGTTAATCCTCCATCTAAATTTTAAGGTCAGTTGAGGTTAGCAACAGTGAAAATCTACTTGGCCTTCAGAAAACCTCAGTTGGGATAAATTGAATTCTGAGTCACCACTTCAAGGACTGATGTGTGTCAACAGTGTCTCCAGTGGGAGGAAGGATGGCACAACTGTGATGAGGTGCCAGTGAGACGTGAGACACCAGTGGAAAGAGAGAAAGACAGGATCTAAGAGAAGATAGTAAAAAACAAGACTATGTGAATACAAAAGAAATGGAAGATTTCGAAGGAGACTGGGAGATGAAACAAACAGCAGTCAGAAGCACCCTGGTTTTTCCTGTATTGCCAAGTGAAATAGTGTCTGGGTCTGTCCGTCTTGGCTATGCCTCTCCTTGAAATCCCCAGCTTGCCTCTTCGTAGTTCACTGGGACTTTGTCAGCCTGTAATGGCTTTTGGGGTCCAACTAGGAATCAAACAAGGATGAGCCTGTGCTGTGTAAATCTGGGTGGTGAGGAAGGGAAGCCAACACCTTATCCTTCGTCCTTCCTTGCACAGTGTGATATTCCAGAAGTTTCAAAGGCCCTTTTTTACCTGAGTCATACCTACCTGCCAGAGCATATTCTGAGGGTTTGGTCCATAAGGCAGCTGGAATTCTCAAAGAGGCCATGTATCAAAAGCCATGAGCTTATATTGCTTAGATAGTAAAACTGGGACATTCTTAAATTTTGAATCAGCTGTGGTCTTGGATGATTCTTGTAGATGTTCTTGGTCTAAATTTTCAAATTCTAAAGGGATTTTTCAGAACTTTTCCAAGTATCCTCATATTTGTTCCATTATTTGTTCTGGAAATCTACATAGGGGTATTAAACCCAACCCTCTGATCATAATGGCTCAAATTACTTGTCTATTACTATAGTAATTGTAGACATACTTACATCGCAAATCGATATAATCTAATTTTTAAAGAAACATCATATCATTTAAAGTAATGGTTAAACTATATTTTCAACCTCCTTTTCAGTTGTTAGAAAAAAATAATTTTTGACTTGTTTACAAATTAAACATCTATCAATTATGAATCTTACAAGAACCAACTTCTGTTAAGTGCTTGAAGTACGACAATGACAAAAATACTTCCTGCCTTTCATATGAGGCCGCAACTTGAACTTGCTAAAATGCTGGAAATTCTAATTAAATTATGTAATCAGAAGTGGGCTTGACTCCACTGCTTTTATAATTCTATAGCAATTTAATTTTTCTATAGAATTAAAGTAGCAAATTTTTTTATCTACTACAGTATAATGATGCTAATAAGAGCATTTTATTTATTTACTTATTCATTCATTCATTCATTCATTTCTAGTTTGATACTGGTGGTTGAACTGAAACTCATCACACTGAGCTGCATTCCTGGCCTTTCTGTTGGTTGACAAGTTCTTACTAAATCTCTAATTTTCCCAGCTGCATACACACTTACAATCCCCCAACCTCAGACTCCCAGAGTAGTGGCATTACAGGAGTGTACCACCATGCCCAGATACTAGAAAATATACTTTACTAAAACACTATTCATAAAGCTAACTAAGTTTTGATTAAAAATACCAAGATTATAGAGAAATAGAAAAGTAAATTGGAGTGGACGCATAGTTTATAATTTGCCTTTAGAACTCTGTAAGAAGACCGCTTGAATTTAATTCTAGTAGTCAGCACACATATCATATTAAGGTTCTGAATGCAAAAAAGAGCTCTTTTGATTGATATCACTGAGGAATTTTAAATAATAATAGATTACTTTATAAAAAACGTCAAGATTTAGAGAAACCAACAAAGATTGGGTCAGTTAAGTAACAGTAACAGCGACAATAATAATAGTAATTGTAACAGGGTAGTTACTACCTCTAGTCCTGAAGCAGAGAGATGGGTCGCCAAGACCCAAAACAGGCAGCAGTATGGATAGGGCTCTGTAGGAAGCAGGTTGTCCACTACAGTGACAAGGTGACACAATGACACAGCCAAACTGTGGCCACCTGTCAAAGAGGACGGCCTAGATCACACCAGGGTCACACTGTTCTTCTCCACTTTAATCTACTGCTTGTACTTCTCATGGGACAAGCCCACTGTGAAGCCAGAGGGTGAAATAACCCAGAGTCACTGTCCTCAGAGGCCAGCCTTTGACAGCGAGCAGAGAATCATGTGGAGTTAGAAAAATATGGTAAGTAAAATTAAGGGAAATACCTCTTGGTGAGTTTTAGTTTAAAAGTCATTCAAAAGTGACCTTCAAAACAGAAAGATACATTAATTTCTATTTTATTTCAACATTTAGATTATTATTTTAGTTATTCACTTTTCTGGAGACAATGGAAATATGTAAACCTAGCTTTCCAAACATCATTTATTTGTCACAGGGAATAC